GTCACGATTTAGATTTTGCATTTGATAAATTGTCCACTATGCGACACTAAGTCAAACAAGTTACAACTTAAAAAGTGAATTAATTTTTCTTTCTTCTTTCTTCAGATAAAAAATTAACTCTTTATTTAAAAACTCCCTTTTACTTTACAATCTTTACAAGCTTTGTCAATCTTTATAAGTACTCTTCTCTTTACACAAAAAATGTCTTCATTATTCTCAACTAAAAATAAAAATATAAAAAATTCACTACTAGAATATTTAATCTCATTTTTAAAAATTCTACAAGTTTAATTTATCCATTAAAATTTTTTCTTTATTACTAAAATGATTTCACATTAAACCTGCAAATTTTTACCTTTTTAACTTCAAGAGCGTGTAATTCTTTAGGATTAATTATCACTCCAATTAATTTGAGTTAAAACTACCCGCGTTAAGCATTTAGCCGAGTAATTTGTTAGCACTTGCAAGAATCCAACATTTCTTATTTCTTCTTATATCAAATCTCAGATTCTCGGTTACTTTTTGGACACACAAAATTTATTCTGAATTTGATCCCAAATTGGAATATAAACCCTCATAGTTTGTTAATTTTCTTTTCTTTTTAGATATCTTAGTAGAAATAAATCTAAAGGATTCAAATCTCCGTAAATCCTCCTAAGATGCGGGACGTAGATCTGAATAATTCTTTTATTCCTCTACTGGGTACAAGACTTGAATGTGTTAAAGTCAATGGGTCTATTGTGGGTAGGATTTCGAGGTCTTCAATATGAGATACCCAAGTTTAAGTAACAAAACACAAATTACTCTTCTTTCCAACTTAAGCAATCAAAATTTTAAGCGCTTGTCACTAAATAAGACCATTTTTTTCTACAAAAGATTTTTTTTTAACACGCTTTTATTAGCTTCGCCTGTATCTATGTATCTGTCTATGTAACGAATCTTTGAACTGGATTTTCGGGCACTTCAAAACCTAGGATTAAATTAAAACTTTGCACACTTATCAAGGACCGATAACAATACAATTATTTAATAAGTTTGTCCGATTATCCTGACCCAGGATCGACAGGATTTCCGGTTTTTTATATCTGAAGACACGGCAGTGCCGAGCGCCACGTACTAACGCAAGTACTAAGACATTGATAGGTTAATCTTTGAGACGATCATATGACTAAGCTTAGGATCAACTAGGGACCTTTCGTACGTTTTACAATTTTTAAAAATTATAGTTTGAAAAAGTAAAATCCACGCTTTGACGGTAAATCGAACTAAAAAGTACAAAATAAATAATTGTTTTAAAAAGTTTAAAACGCGCTTTAATAAAAAATGAAACTAAAAAATAGAAAATAATCTTCAATGAGTTTTAAATAAAAATAAAGGATTAATTTTCGATATAGTATATTTTTTAATTAAAATTTATAACCCACAATTTATTTTATAGATCACTTTTTTTTTTTAATAATAATAAAATCCTTCAAAATAATTATTCATTCTCGCATAAAGTAAATAAACATACTGCGCGTTCGAATAAATGACACAAACACTCGATTAAACAGCGATACATTCCGTTAAATAAAAACTCTTGAGTTTCCTTTTTAATCAACTCCATCCCAATCGATCCAATAGCTCGGAGCTTCACCATTAAACTCATTGAATTAATTTAATTTGTATCTCAAAGGATGTTCCTCGTCAAAGGTATCGCTTTTTCTGAATAATGCGTCGCATTTTCCATTAATCACGTTATTTATTATAAACTTGATACTTATAAAATAAAATTCCAGTATAAATAAAATATTCTTGTCAAAATTATAAAATTCCAATTTGAATTTTCAACGAAAAATAATTCCAGGCATTTTTATTTTAAGATTCTAGAAAATTTAATGCGTCATACTCTCAAGATAAATCTTTTTGTCGCCGGCAACTTGCGACAATTTATTGCAGATGCAAAAAAATCTGTTTCTTCTCTGACCTTTGAATTTTTTCTGTTGAAAATTTATTAGTGCATTAATTTTTTGTTGCCTCAAAACTTAAGACGCAAAAATAATTAAATCATTCTAATTATTCCTGTCAAACTTTAGGCAAATAAAATTAATTATACAAAATTTTTCTTCTCAAGTTTTCCTTTCTTTAAATTACAAGTTATAAAATATATAAATGTAGAGATGTTTTTTGATAGGAATAACAAATCATATGTTGTGATAACAAAGTCTAGATTATAAGTTATAAAAAAACAGTTTTGGTACAGTAGAATCTTTTAGTTCAACAAAATAATTTAGTTTAATGAACAAATCGATTTGTTTAAATAACAATTTGTTCTACATAAACCAGTCGGTTGGTATAACAAATGTCGTTGTTGAAATAACTAAATTATTCTCGACAATTAACTAATAATTTTGTTAGCTAAATTTTCTCAAAAACATTTTTCCAAGACAGTAACTAGATTTTCGCGCTCGAAGTTAAATTTTTAGCTTCAAGAGCTACTAACTTTGCTAAAGAAAAGTTTTTGAGCGTTTTGAACTTTAATATAACAGAAAGTTCCAGGAACAGCCTTTAGAGTCAACCACATCCAGGATTTTTAAATTGTTACAATAATAAACAAAATTGTAAATTACAACTTTAATGACAATTTTTGAGAAAAGCTTCTCAGAATTTTACAACTATTTTTGGCAACAAAATCACTTTGTTATGCCAACAAAATTATTTTGTTACTCCAACAGAATGACCAGAGTAACGCTAGCTAAATTATTTTGTTGTCCTAAAAAAATCAAACTTGACTAATGATTGTTAAGGGAACTAATGAATTTGTTGCTAAAAGTATACTCAATTATTACTCCAACATATTTTTCAAATATCCCGATTTTTGTTATTTTAACAAAATTATTACGCGTCCAAGACAATTATTTTCTTTAAAATGTTATTCTAGGTTCAAGATTTTTTTCTTTAATCAAGTTAACTTTTTATTAAGTGTGGAAATCTTTTAGTTCATTTTATTTTGCATAAAAATTTTAATTAATCGACTGTGCCGTTTCAATGTAATTTCTAATCCTAAATTCATGACTGACTTCTGTCGGCTCCGTGTTGTTCTCTAACTTAGTCTCTGAAGTTTAGGACGAAAATATTTTAGTGAAATAATAAAATATTTACTATAATAAAAATATCCCGTTTTTCATAATAATAATAATGATAATAATAATGATGATACATAATAATATAAATGTCGAAAGTGGTGGTAAAGTAATGGTAGGTCGGCTGTCGGGACCGGTGGGACTATATATATAAATATATATATTGTATACTGTAGAATATACATTAATGTAAAAGTAAGTGGGCAAGAGAATACTGAGGGCAAATTGAAGGAGGGGATAGGTCCCAATAAATTAAACTCTGTAGTAACCACCGGCGGGCACTTTACTGCTGGGTAGTGGCGTCCCAGCAAAACCGGCATTAGTTGGGACTCTGAAGGCCTTCAGACAGTTTCGTTCTTGCTATACGGATTTTTATTTTACTCAAACTCGTGTCGATATTTTTATTTGTGCTACTAAATACTAATAGTACAACTTACATCATTTGAAGTTTATTTTTTTTTAGTGTTGTGTTAATTAATTTTAATTTTTTTAATATTTTTAATTAAGGTAGGCTTGAAATTTTTTTATGTAATACAAATTTTTATTTTTGTATTATTATAAAAAATATTTATAGATTAAATTGTTAATCTATATTATTGAGAAAATAAGCAAAATATTGTGGAAAGTGTATTTATATGATAAAATAGGTTTTTATGGTTAAATTTGGTATCGTTGGAAAAGTCTTGACCTGGAGTTGTGCCTTTTCATATTATTCTCACCAATAGTCAATTTATGGTGACTTAAACTGCATTAGAAAATTATCTCTAGAAACATAATTAAGAAATGACCTTGTATCTTGTGAAATATTGACATTTCTATAGATATAAGCTCATTCTGATGTTACACTCTTCAAGACCTTTCATTTAAGTACCCACATCAATTTTTTATTTATTTTATATATTTATATATATGATATATATGAATATATGAAAAATATATGAAAATGCATGTGGGTACTCAAATGAAAGCTCTCGATGAGTGTAACATCGAAATGAGTTTATATCTAAATAAATGTCAATAATTAAGAAATGACCTTGTATATTGTGAAGTATTGACATTTTTAAAGATATAAGCTCACCCCGATGTTACACTC